ATTTAAAATTTAACTTTTTGATTATAATAAATTACAAAGTAATTATACAAATAATTTTATTAGAATATAAAAAGAAAGTATATTAAATAAAATTAAAAATGTTTTAAAAAAAAAATAGACAAAAAAAAAATTTTTTTTAAATATTTTATTTTGTTTAATTTGATTAATTGACCCGAATTTTATCTGGTCAGGTCATAAGCTTGACCCGACCTGATGTTGACCTGAAAATTTGTCTACCTGATCTGGATTTTTCAGGTTGGATTGGGTCAGGTCACAGGTTGACCTGATCTGATTTGGAGCTCTAATCACATCATATAAATCTCTTATTATAAGCACATATTTTGTAAGAACTAATACCTATTAATGTAATATAAAAAAACCTCATTATAATCACAGTGTTTTTATAGTCATACCCATTCAGAATCAACGCTTAGTAACAACAAATAAAAATCCCACTGTATAGCAACTTTTTATTATAATCACATTTTTTATTTTTGGTCCCAAAGGGTGTGACTATAAAAGGGGGACGACTGTAATTATTATTGTATTTAAGATATAGGAGATTTGCTAGGAAAATAAAATTCTAAAAAGTTTTTAATAAAATTTAATTTTATTGCATTTTAATTTTTGATAATATTAGATTAAAATGTAAAATTTATTAATACATTTTCAGAAGTCTATTTTCTTAACAAATTTTCTATATAATAAAAATTAAATATCTTAAGCTTATTTGCTTATTAAATAAAAATATATATTTAATTTTTAATATCATAATTATACTTTTTGATGATTATTTTTATTATTTCCTTTAATTTTTTTTTAATTTATTAATAATACATACATTTTTTAAGATATCAATTATTTATTTAATATTTTTTCTGTTTAAATTTATTTTATACTTTTATATATTAAATGATTCTTTAATAAATAATTCTTTTATACTATGATTTTCTTGAAATTTTCTATATTATTATTATATATCTGCTATAATATAAACTAAAATATTGTTAATTTTATTAAAATAACTTAAAAATTTTAAATTTATTTTTATTTTTTAGAATTTTTAGAAATAATTTATCATTATTTATAAAAATAATATATTATCATCCTAAAAAAAAAAAATTTTAATATTTTTAATCAAATAATTTATTATTTTAAAATTTAAACTACTATATATTTTTATATAATTAAATTTAAATGTATTTTAAGGAATAATATTAATTTTTATAAATTATAAAAAAAAAAATTAATATTTTAAGTGACTTTCTTTAAACTAATATAGATAATATAATAATTTAATTCAAATTTGAAAGGTTAAATGTAAAGATAATATTATAATTAAAGCTGTAAATTAGTAAATTTACAATTCAGATTACAACTAATTGTAAGATTTATTTAAGATAAAAATGTATAATGAATTACAATTTAAAATGATGTAATTCAAGATGTAATTAGTTAAACTTTTAAAATCAATTATTGTTAAATTCTAAAATCTTTAAATTAAATATAAAGATGTTACTTGTCTATCTATTTATTAAAAGATTAAACACAATTCATTGGAATCATCATAATGAATCATCTAATAATGATTAATTCTTATTTTAGCTTCAAAAGGTGAAACATTATTGAAAAATAACTTTTTATAAACATTTGAAACCTCTAATCAATATGAATTAACCACCATTAAACTCTATGATTGCAACAAGCTATGTTCATCATTCTATGCGCGAGTTTATGTGAGACTGTCCTAATTCGCTTGGCAGGTTGATATATTTTATATATTACAGTTATTTTTTATTATATAATAAAAAACTACATGAAAACCTATCTATTATAATAGACCATATTTACATTAAATTATCACTTTCTGATAAAATGTTGTCCAAAACTTGTTTTCCCAATAATAGTAATTCAACATCATGTTTCCGCATATTTTGTTGCAATGTAATATTTTGATTATTATAAAATATTTTTGCTGTATCAATAATATTTTTGATGGCATCCATTTCGAAAAATTTTGATGATGATATAACAAGAAGACAAAATAAGAGAGTATTCTCTAAAAGAATTATTTGATCTTCTCTTTTTGAATTATGATCATAAAGTTTTAATTTTGGTTCTAAATAAATGTAAAATGTTAATAACATTAAACTTATTGAAAATAATCATAAAATCATAATAATAGTAAATTTCGAACCGAGAATTTTTGAAATTTGTAATCCAATTTTTATGATTTTCCAAACTTCGTCCTCATTCCCTATGATAAAGGTCTCTTTATCGGATACAACAATATTAAGCAAAACTTGTATAGGGCCAAGTATTTCATTGATTTCCAAATCATAAATACCATTAAAATCTTTTTTATTCGACCAGAATTTTACCAAGTAATCAATCATTATCTGCGGTCCTCCATGTTTAAGAAAAGTTTCACGCGGTTGATCAAGTGATGTGAGATTTAAAAAAGCAGGTGTCATGATTTTGATTAAATTAACCTCAATGTCGCATGTCAAACTAATAAGTAAAAATAGTTAAATTACAATATTTTTTAAAAATAATAATTTAAATATACATACCTATATTGACATATTTCAATCAAAAACGGCATCATTTTAGAAATTTCTTTTTCCAATGAACTTTCTTCTGCGAGCCACACAGAAAGAACACGAATACTAGCTAAAATACTTTCATCTTTAATAACTTTTTCAACGGAAGTTGTTTCCTAAAAAGCAATTACTTAATTAGAATTTTCAATTTAAATATTAATATTTTGATGATTTCTGATGGAATATTACTTTAATATCCATTAAATGTTCGATAATAAAACGAAAAGTTTCAATCATTGTTCCTTTTAACCGCAAGAGCAATTCCGGATCTAAATTTAATCCAGTTAATTCAATAGAACTTCCTTGGAATTGAGATTCTAACAAATTTTCGATTTGTGATAAATATTCAATTGATTTTTCGAGAATAGTATAACAGGCAGATAACAAAAATTCATTTCGCTTATTAGATTGGAATTCTTGTAATTCCTGCTTTTCATATTGATCAGCTAAATCATCTAGCAAAAGACGAATTTCAACACAAGCCAACTGAACTACTAAAGCAGCAAATTTAAAATCATCGACTTTATTTGCAGAAGTCTGATTGAAAGATAAATTTTCAATAGTTGAAGCAAATAACCAAGGTGCGCCAATATGATGAAGAAGCAGCATAACAAGTGAAAGAGCTTTATCGCGTTGTTCATTGCCTAGAATAAATAATACATAAAAAGAAGGTTAATTTATGAATAAGCGATAAATTCAAATAAAAATAATTACAAAAAAAATTACCAAGTCTGCTACTTAAAATTTCTTTTAATCCGAATTTAATATTTTGTGTCCATTCATCTAATTTTGTTTTATCAGTAAGAAAGACGATTTGAACATACTACACGATGTTTAGATGTATTCAAATTTAATCATTAAAATATAGAGAAATAAAAAAAATAAGTGTACCTGATCTGTCATATAGGAAAACATATCGACAAAAAAATTAAGTAGTTCAAATTTGAGTTTTTCTTGATTGGTTCGAAAAGTTAAAGACAGATAATTGAGAATTCTAAGCATATATTCCCTAATATATGCAATATCTGATGTGGATTGATCGGTTGATATTATCAAAGTATTTGTGATATTAGAGACAACTTGCAGTGCTAAATCCCGAACTTCATCTAAATAAAGTCATGTCATAAATTAAAAATAAAATCCTAAACTAAAGAAAAAAATGAACATAAAAAAACTCTTGCATAAACTTTTTACCATTCGTTGTAGTTGTTATACACGATAATATCTTTGTAACAACTTTTTTGTCAACAAGATATTTAACAGCTTGGTTATCAGAAGATAATCTAATGAATATCTGCAAAATTTCTTTGGCTAATTCTTCGTTTTCTCTGTATCGGGATAAAGAAGAAATAAAATGAGAAACAAAATAATAGGCTGTACGTAATATATCTTAACACATACATCAGAGCTAATAAAGTTGACAAAGTAGGAATTCGAGCGTGGATTTGTCGTTTTGATATAAGTTCTTCTACCTCGCAAAAACATGATATTATGTGGATAGCAATTGTTTTCAATATATTATCAGGTAAATCATTATCTGAAGAATTACCTATAATGTATCAAAATAAGAGAGCAACCAAATTTAATTCAAAGAATTAATACAAAAAAATAATTAATAAGATAGAAATACATACTTGTTCTCATTAGGCGTTCCAAAAATTTGAAATCCATGGAATCAAACACAAGTCTAACATTTTCCTGATCTTGCTGTAATAAGCGAGGAAGGAGCATAAGAGCAACAAACTTCGCATCGTCCGAAGATTCAGAACGCAATAAATTTAAACATTGATTAATTTCACTCCTAGAATCTTCATGTTCAGAAGCCATCATAATTGACAAAAAATAGTACGATAAAAAAAGGAAATACCGAAAAAAGGTGTAGGAAGAAGTTCGTCTGATTGGCTAATTTGTGTAGATCATATTAAAAATTTGATTGGTTGATAGAGTCACATTATATCACGTGATAATTTTGAGATCATATGGGGTGAGTGCTAGGCAAATGGACCAAATTGATTTTTTTTTAAAAAAAAGTTTCTAAGTAAAATAGATGTAGATTTCTTAGCACTCACCCATATATTTTACCTAATATTACCACAAGATTTTTCACCTTCACATGATTTAGTAAATTATTACGATATTTGTTACCCCCATGTTACACCCTCCACTTTTCCATTTTTATTAAGTATTCTGGGAACTTGGAAATTTTTTTCATATTTGTTATGACTTATTTGTCACATGAATAATTTATTAATACTGTAATGTTATATGGGGTAAAAATCTTGTGACGATACTGGATTAAATGAGATCATATAAGATAGTCAGCCTCTCTTCTTTCAATCTAAATCAAATAAATCTTAATGTTTAAGATGGTTTTACCTAACCAACTGAGTATATTTTATTGATTAAATAACAAAAAAATGGATTTTATTGATCAAAATATATTTTTTTAAATCTTTTTTTTATATATAAAAAAAATAACATGATTTTTTTAATTATCCCTTAAATCGTAAGATTTTGCAAGCAAATTTGTCTGCTTATTTACTATAAATTCTCTTCTGATTTACTTTTATAAATAATATAAAGCAAAAAGGAGGTTCTGGAACAAATTACTAAATCGCTTCTGAATTAATTCTAGCTATACGAAATCTATTATTAAATTTAAACCTCTAGCGTGATTTGACTCAATTCTAGATGATGATATCAAACTTAGCTAAGAATTAACCTTCAGATATCAAGAATTATAATGTTTGATATAACCATTCTAGCCTGATTTTAATCCCAAATAATATATCAAAAATTTTTTACTATTCTGTTTGCCTTAGAAGGGGCCATCAAAAATCAAGGAACAAAGTGACGTGATTTGAGCTAGGCCTGACATTGCAAACCCAATATGAATAATAACTTTTATGCTATTCTGCTTGCCTCCAGAGGATCCATCAAAAATCAAAGAATAAAGTGACGCGATTTGAGTTTGATCTGATCATGTAAGTCTAAAATACATACCATATTTCATGATATCATAAAATTAATTCTAAAGTTGATTCATTATCAGCTAGCAATACTAAAATTTACACCTATGCCTGTTCATAGGTGTAAATTTTTAAATGTGTACAAGAAAATCTAAAAGCTCTAGATCATGTTTTAGTATACTAATAATTTCTCAATATGCAGTAAACCATTCTTAAGCCATTTCTTTTACATAAAGCTAGGGTTACTAATTTTCACCTTAGGTGTAAAAAAATTGGATTAGATGTAAATTTTTTGTATATCTTAATACTAGGTGTAAAAAAAATTGGATTAAGTGTAAATTTTTCTTATGTCTTAGTACTAGGTGTAAAAAAAATTGAGTTAGGTGTAAATTTATTGTATGTCTTAGTACTAGGTGTAAAATTTTCAACCTTAATTTGCCTCCTAATAAGTATCCATGGCTCTATTCCGAAGCCTATGAATATACTAGATTACATAATAACCACTAGCATATTTTCTACAAAGGCTAGGCTTAGAGCTAGTTGGCTTACCACAAACCGGAGTTGATTATTAAATAATTTATTTTAAACAAAAGTTTTTGTATTATTAATACAAACAACTAAATGTATATACATATATTTAAAATGATTCCACCATGTTCTCGATGTGGAAAAGATGACTTTAAACAGTCTTGTAATAGGACAAATCATCTTAATAGGAAGTTTAAGTGTAAATAATTAAATCCTATTTATTAACCAACACGTTTCACCTTCTAGACTCAAATCACCTACTCCGATAGTCCATATTCGAGAAAAGAATCAAAAAAAGGAGAAACCAAAAGGGGTTAATTCTAGTATGATTAAGTGACAAGACGCTCAAATAGTTAACTCAACTCCTAATCCCGAAGCAGGACTAGGCTCAGCAACCCAAGCACATAGGGAAGGGTTAGTTATCATTTCACAGGTTGAAGACCAAGGAAAAAAAAGTAAGCGGAAGAAGCTTGTAGGTCAAGTAGGTGATATAGAACTTTTTAAGAAGCTGAACATGATAGAAGAAACAGAAATAGAAAGGATAACAGGTCAAATTCAAGGGTTAATTACTCTTGATAATTCAGAAAGTCATGCTTCTGAAGGTGATATACTTTTGAGAAAAAAAGAGGTAGCAATCCAGAAAGATAACATCCAAATCTCAGAACTTTGTTTATATGGGAAACTATAGTTTCTAGAATATCAAATCTTGCATATACTTTTAATGATATAGTAAATCCAAAGGAATATGCTGAAGCTCTATATATACCTCAACTAATAGCATCAGCTCAAAAGAAAATTACAGGAGTTCTCCAAACAGAGCTTAATAAAAAAGAGCAGATAAAATCAGCATTAGTCATATTATGCAAATATTTTAAAAAGGAAGAGGATAAAAATATTAAAGAAATAATATATACTTTTACAGAAAAATATCATAGAGGGGAGTTACGTCCAATTCTCTTAAAAAATGATATAATCGAACATATACTGTAACTAGTTCTAATTCAGAAATAGATAAGAAAATTGATAATATCTTCATAACAGATCAAACTGGCAACTAATCTGAATTGATAAAGTATTTATTGAGGCATATACATTCCATCGAGTCACAGGAGATTCTTTCATTCCTACTCCAAAAAAGCTTGCCAATACTAAATGCATAATTAATCCAGATAATTCTGATATTATAGATTCAATTATAGGTAAGCCTACAGACAATTGTATCAAAGATGCAACAGGATATTATTTTGCAGATAGGGATGGAATTACAGATCACTTAGGAAGACATATATATAGGGCAAAAAGTCTTCAAAAGTATTTAGAAATGGTCAAGCTAGATGGGATTCCAATCTCTACTCCTATTTGCTCACATATATTTAATAAGATTGAGGAAATGAATCCAGATATCTCTATCAATGTCTGGGAATGGAATGAAAAAACAGCTACTCCAAAACTAGTAATAGCTAGTAAAAACTTTAATAGAAAACATAAAATTTGACTATTAGCTCTTACAGATATTACTAAATCAGAAAAAGGTAAATATGATCAAATGAACTATTTTCTCTAAATCAAAAATCCTAGCAGATTAATATATGGTGATAATGCGTATAAAGAAAAGAAATATTTATGTGATAGATGCACTATAAGCTGGTCTTCTGAAAAGTCTCTAGAATATCATTTAGAATGGTATTCAGAAATATATGAAAATGCCTCTCAAAGAATTGCAATGCCAGAGAAAGGGGTCAATGATTATAAGAAGTTCAAAAACTATGGTTGAATGATCAATGCTCCATGTGTTATTACAGCTGACTTTGAGGCTGATAATAAGAAATGTAATGAGACATATGGTGGAAGTATGATTAAACTCACTGAGCAGAAGGCTAACAGTTTCTGCTATTTGATTTACTGGATCGATATTGGAGATGTCTGGGGTCCATTCTTATATAGGGAGAAAATGCCACACAAGAATTCATTTGAAGAATCAATCAAGAGCTGGTTAAAATCAATGAGATTCTAGCCATCAAACATGAGCGAATTGAGACCGAAGAAGATAAGAAAAGATTTGCTAATGCTATTAACTGTTGGATTTGTAAAGGTAAGTTTGATATAGATATACAGTGGCACTCAAAAGTATTGCATCACCTGAATACAAATTTTAAAATGGCATTTTCCTGTGATTAAGACAGCGCAGTGTCATATAAATTATTTATTAGACTTATTATAACCAAGTCTATTCAATATATGAAAATCAGTTTATAGTAATAAGATAAATTTTTAAAAAATATTTATTTTTGAACAATTAGGCAATCCTTTTCTTTTGATCATTTTTTTATTAAATTTTTTAAGTATATAAAAAAAAGTAAAAAATCTAACCAACTTGTTAAAAACTTTGGTAAATAATTATTTACCATTTTGTATAGCCACCATTAGCTCTAATTACATCATTTATACAAGTTGGCATAGTATCAACTAACTTTTTGCATATATCAAACCCCAACTCAACCCAAATTTTTGAATTGCATCCTATAACTGATCATGTGTTCTAACAGGTGTTCTAAGCTGCCTCAAATGACGATCCATTTCATTCCAAATGTGTTCTATGGGATTTAAGTCAGGGGATTGTGCTGGCCAATCAAGAACTTTAACCCTATTATCTTCAAACCATTGCTTTGTAAGATGTGCAGTATGTTTAGGATCATTATCCTGTTGAAAAATAATATTTTCTTTATCTATTCCATACCATGCGATGGTTCCCAATAGGTCTTTCTTTAAAATTTGGCGATATAAATCACCATTGGCATATGTTACCAACCCCATCAGATGTAAAACATCCACACACCATAATATTATCCCATCCAAATTTGACCGTTGGTTTAACATGATGATTGTATAATAGTTCTCCTGGTTTTTTTCAACAATACTCTCTACTATCTGATCCATAAATCATAAATTTTGACTCATCTTACTAAACCACTTTACTCAAATCTTCAACTGTCCATAACTTGTATTTTTTTGCAAATTTCATCCTTGTGATTCTATGTGTTTTTTGAAGATATGGTTTTTTGCACTTAACCCTTGCATTTATTCCATTTCTATGTAAGGTTCTCTTTACTGTACATTTACTAACTTCAATTTGTTCTTCTATTTTTAATTTTTTTTTAAATTGCAACAGCATTGCTACATTTACCTGTTGTAATTAATCTCAAAACTTTTCGTTCATATCGACCAGTTAAGAGTCACGGACATCCAGATTTAGGTTTATTTTTATTATTACCATTTTTATCTTTATGTTGCTTGATTCTTATAACAGTTGATTGAGAAACATTTTCCTTGTCTGCTATATAGCGGAATGGAAAACCTTCATCAAATAAGACACAAATCCTAGCTCTTTTTTCAACAGAAAGATAGACCATAGATATTTTATAAAATTATAAAGAGGCAAAAAATACCATAAGGCATCTTTTTTATATGTATCGCATAGTTGTTTTGAAGCAAAAAAATCGTGTAATAAGTATTGATATTTATTTCTTAAATCGATCAAAAGAAATGCATCATCACTTTAGCAAAAAATTCATAACAAAAAAAAAATATATTCTTAAAAAAAAAGATGAAAGAGATTGATAAAGATTAAGGTATGACGAACTCTATATTTAAGTTTTGTAATACTGTGCCTTTTAAATTACAAGATATTTCCATTTTAAATTTTATATTCGGATGATGCAATACTTTTGATTGCCACTGTAGATGAAATTGTACGCCTAGAGAATAAAATAACCAATCTTAAAGAGAAGATAGAAAAGTTTAAAAAAAGTTTAGTTGAATATAATGGCATCGAAATAACCATTAATAATGCAACTAAAGCAATTGCTAGCGAAAAAGCTAAAGCAAATAATGTTTGGGATCATAGTCATATTACAGGTAAGTTTTGTGGATCAGTCCATAGGGATTGTAATCTCAAACTCCAAATACAGGATTGGAAGACCCCAATTCCAGTTATATTTCACAACTTTTGAGGCTATAACTCTCACTTGCTTTGTGAGTCTGTCAGGTTATCAGCTAATGCTCTTCATATTCAAGTTATAGCCGAAACATTTGAGCGATATAAGACTATGAAGGTAAGTCAACTCAAATATATAGATAGCATGCAGTTCATAAATAGTAGCTTGACCAGTCTTACAAAAAATTTGGGTAATAACCACCCAATATTAAGCCAATATTTCAAAAAATTAAGTTATACAGAAGAGTAATTAGCATTAGTATATCATAAAGGAGTTTATCCTTATGACCATATTGATTCTCATGATAGGTTTCAGGAGACAGAACTTCCTCCCATTCATGAATTTTATAGTACTCTTAAAGGTAACATCTCACAAGATGACTACAAATATGTCCAGAAAGTATAGAAGGAATTCATATGTAAAAATCTAGGTGAATAACAGGATTTCTATCTTAAAACTGACATACTTAGTCTAGCAGATGTCTGAACAGAGTTTCAAAAAATATCTATGGAATATTATGAACTTGATCCCAGTCACTATGTTTCTGCCCCATCATTATCCTGGGATGGAATGCTTAAGATGTCAGGAGTTAGAATTGAACTTTTTACAAATATGACTATGCATGATTTTACTGAAAAAGCTAAGTGTGATGGAATATCTATGGCCTGTCAATGATATTTTAAGGCTAATAATCCCAAAATGGAAGAGCCTATGATCCATTCAAACCCACATCCTGGATATTATATGTAGACACAATAAATCTTTATGAATATGAGCTAATATTTGTCTATCAGAAAATATCAATGGAAAGCTAGTCGGAAATATTTACTAAAAAATCTAGCTATGCAGAAGGAATATCTTGAAAAGATTCTCAATACACGATCTGATACTAAATGAGAGTATTTCTTAAATATTAATGATCATTTTCCTCTAAAGACTTATGATTATTTAAAAGATTTACCTCCAACCATAGAAAATATTACCATAGAAAAGGATTGGTTAAGTCCTTATAATGCTAAACTTGTAGAACAATTAAATGGTGAACGCTTCTCTGTCACAAAAAAATTAGTCCCCCATCTTGGATCACGAAAGAATTATGTCATCCATTACCAAGAGCTCCAATATTATGTAGAATTAGGTATGGTTGTAGATGAAGTTTCAGAGTTACTCTCCTTTGACCATACTAACTGGCTCGAACCATATATATCTTTTAATACTGAGAAACGTAATGAGGCTAAAAAAGATGGAAATACATTCCTGAATGACTTTTTCAAACTTATGAATGTATCAGTATATGGCAAGACTATGGAAAATGTTCGCAAGTACCAGGATGTCAAAATTATGAAGAATAATAATGAGCAAGATGAAAAAGCTTTCTTGAATAAGGTCTGCATGCCATCTTTCAAGTATGCTAAATCGCTAGGACTTACATTAGTAGGTGCTCATATGGGAAAGGCTAGCGTGACTCTCAACAAGCCTATTATAATTGAAGCATCTGTTTTGGGACTTAGCAAGCTTCATATGAATAAATTCTGATATGGTTATTTGAAGGAAAAATATGGGGATAATGTTGAACTTGGCTATATAGATACAGACTTTTACATCTTTAAAACTAAGTCTGAAGATATTTATAAAGATATGAATGAACGACTGGATTTTTTTAATCTTAATGGAGATCAAACAGTTGGCAAATATAAGAATGAGACCCTAGGTAATGTGATTACAGAATCATTTCAAATCTGATCCAAGTCTTATCATTATGTCTTAGCAGATAAGACCACAAATTCAAGATATAAGGGGGTTAGTAAGAAGGGCATAAGTGAAATAGTTACAGATACATATATACCAAAATTAGCTGGTTTATTATTTGATGATCCGATAGATGAATCCAAAGTATTAGATCCTACAACCCAAGTATATCAAAATTGTCTCTTTAATAAAGAAGTATTCTATGCCAAGAATGTAGGCATCTGATCAAAAGATCACATACTATCCTTAGTTGAGTCTGAGAAAAAGACTCTCAGTTCCTTAAATACTACAAATGGGTATCTGAATTACCTTATAGGCATTGGTGTAATATGATTTATAAGAATATGATCAAAGATAGTATCCCTCATGAAGTGGCTAAAAAAAGAGTTATAAGGGCTAAACTCCTAGAGAAATATCAAAATGAATGTATATCTCACATATCTAGCTCACTCCAATAAGCTACTAGTGAAAGAGTATTCTATATCTCCTATAATCTCGACCAAAGGAATGTTATTATTATATATTTTTTTCTTGTATAATAAATATTTGATTACAGAATACTTCACTTTAATAGAATCTAAACAAGAACAAATATCTAATAACACATATAGCGAGTATGAAAAAAGGTATGGTAAAAGAGCTAATGAAGTTATCAGAACTCAATCATCATACAAGACGTTTTCAGCAATTGATAAAAAATCCAGTATTTTTATTGGAGAAATTATAGCATTAATGATAAAAGTGGATAAACTTAATT